CTTAATTATAAGATAGGGGACTTGTTCAAAGCTGAGAGGTAAGCACCCAGGAAGTGATTGTAATTGCTTTGAAGTAGTGATGCTTTTAAAAAATTCATTTTCTTTGCCTTTAGGAAGCTTCCTGAAGCCCTCAAAGTTACATTTTCAAACTTTTGTTCAAAACCACAGGTGTTTCAAATTGCCTTATTTTCATTCAGTATCCATTACTTTCACAATGTAGTCACGGTAGGCTTATTAATATCATCACGCAGAATCCAAATCCAGCTCCCTTTCCTCCCCAAGAGTCCTTCAGAGTTGTCCTGTGCATTGTTGTTTTACCAGGCTCATCAGGATGAGCTCAGTTATGTAGCATGAGACACTTTTTTATCTTGGGACTGAGGCTTTGAAATCACTGAAGGTGATTTATACTTCAGTCTTGCAGTTATTCTAGTTGCTGAACTTCTTGTGTGTCCACCTGTTGCCTGCATTAAAACCAGTCTACGCCTTTAGTTTTGATGACTTTGTGCTGAAGAACAATTAATTGGCTAACCAGCTACTACATCTGAATACATTTGTCACTTTTGGTCATCATTATGGGTTTATACTCATTGAATAGACATCATAAATTTAAGAGGACACTGAATTAACATCATTATTTAAAACCTATTCCAAACACATGTAATTGTTATGGTAAATCTAATTTATCTGCTTGTAGAAATTGGCAATATCATTAACAAATGCTGAGAAGGAAAGGAAATGAGTCTCTGTCTCTTTTGCTTAATCAAATATTACCTACATTCAGTAATAGCTAGTTACATCTCATCTTCAGCTCATGTAAATTGTGATTGTTCATGAGCAAACCAATTAGTTAAAATAAGTAATTTATTGGGAGCAAGGGACAATTATGTGAAGCTATTACGCAAATTTGAATTGAAAGTCCCAATATAGAAAGGTTTGGACCTAAAAAAGACTGTAATATATTAAAAAAAAATATTTAAAGTAGTAGCTAGGAGAGGAATATTACTTTGATTAATTACTGAGTAAGTTCTTGATGCAATCAGGAAAAAAAAAGGGATAGGTCCTTTCTGAGCCATGTTTTACCATAGGAAGCACACTCAGAGGTTACAACAGGGAATTCATAAGCTGACATTTATACATTTTTTTTTTCGTGAATGATCCAATGAACACAGCAGTTAAATAGAGCGGACAGCAGATTTTATATGTATATATATATATAAACCTACCAATTAATGGATCAGGGATCCAAAGTTGTGGAAATGTACGGTGAAGGTTGTCCTATACAACTCACAGCCCAGTCATTTGGTTGCCAAAAGTTAAGGAATGTCCTGGCAAGGCATATGTTATTACCTCTCCAGCTACAAAGTACATTCCAACTGCAGATGTTTAGGCAAGAATGACCTTTTTGTCCTGTGACTGAAGCTCACTAATGCATACAAAGTTTGTTTTAACACACAGTGTCATTTATTAGTGGCCAGGAACTGAAGAAATAAAAAGGTTGGACTTCATGAGGTGAATGCTCCTGGTAAAATTGAACTTATCTTTGCCTGAGGTCATAGGCTGTGGCGTTAGGGGAAGTCACTTAAACCTGGCTTTTGATAGCTGACCTATCATCTGCTTTTGTCTGAGTATCCAGCTTATGTAATCAGTTGAACTCTGTTGGCTGATGTCCTAATTTGAGGTGAAGACAAGCAGGGCTGTGTTTCAATATAGAAAGTGCTGTGCTCCTTAATCTGAAAAATAATAATAATAATAAATATCAAAAATAAGGTATCCCAAACTGGAAACTCAGCACAGTTTTGACATTTGCTTTCTGGACCTTGGTTCTGGCTATAGAAGTAACAGATGACTGACTTCTACCTCTTGGATACAAATGAAGATGCATTTTTTTAAAACCACTTGGCAGTCATGATAAGAATGGGGATAAAGCACCAATCAGAAATCCTGCATAGGTGCAGAGTAAAATTAAAACAGCGTGCCAGTGCTGAGGTGAGAAAATGTGGTTACTAGTGTGGATGAATACTGGAGGACACGCTCAGACCTTGAGCATCTTGTTTCTGGTGCTTCATGACTCAAACAGCCTTGTCATTTTAGTGGCTCCAAAACATTACCCTTGTAAATAATTAACGCAGGGGAGCAGATGCATTAAAATGTGCACTTGTTGCAAGAGGACAAGGAATTAGCAGAACTGTTCGGAGCTATAGATGCGTTGGAAGCACGACACATCTAGCGCACGCTGGGAACTGCCTTGCCCTGCTTGACTTGGAAGCACAGGAATTTGAGCCAGCCCTTTGGTGCAATCCCCAGAAAAAGCTCCTCACACCATTATACACCCCATTGTTCTCAAGATGACAGCATAAAAAATATTCACTAGTAACAGCTTAAAGCAAATATTAGGATCCCGAATCAGTTAGATACCAATTGTTGAATCAGTAATCAACTTTAAACAATCGCCTGATGATCCCCCTTATAAGAAACTTGCAGTTGGAGAGTTCTGTGAATCCTGACAGCTGGCATTTTACAAAGCAAAGAAAATAATATTTGAGTGCTGCTGATAATATGAATGTCCGTGTGATTAAGGGGATGACATTTGAGTTGTTAGCCCCCTCCTGACAGCAAGGAACAGAAGCGCTCTGAGGCAGGGATGTGTGCGCGGTTTGGTTCCGCGTTTTGTTTGTTCTACAGATCAGCCTGAACCACTAAGTGAAATGCAAACAATGATAATGTGCAGCCTGACTCATGCAGGTGGATGTATTTTGCAGCAAGAGCGACCGCATATAAGCGATTAGGGTCTGAGCCTTCGGTGAGGTGTGAACAGCCGGGGAGAGTCCAACCTGGGGGAGCACCACGCAAAACAGCTGGGGCACGGCAGCCTGCTGGGGCTTCTATGTTGTAGGGTTTTAGGTTGGGGAATCCTGATTCCTACTAAAAAGTCCAAGAGGGAAGTGGGCATCCCCGTTTTATCAAAAGACAGCATTTGGACTCTTTTGCGAGTTAGAGGAAAATGTTGGACTTGGGAACATCGACTACAGACGTTGTTTTTTTCTGACACATGGAGTAATCCCCAGTGATTTCATTTTCCTGGTGCATTTCACGACGGGCTAGCCAGACTGGAGGCCATTGCAGATGGAAGTGTAAATAATCCAGTGAGTTTTGACTTGTTCCATCCACAATTTTCTTCAGTCTTGTCAGATGAGTCCATTTTTTTTTTTTCCCAGTTTTTTAGTTTTCCAGCACCTGAATAAAAGCCAGTTTCTGATAGCCAACGGCCATGAAACTGACCTGCCAGGAAAGAGAAATCTCATTTTCATGATTGTTTCCATTAACATGTCACCGCGAGATAAAGACAGTGACTGATGAACTAATGTACATTTCACTGATGTTTATATCGGTGATATCTTTGGGATTTTTTAAGGACCTGAAATGGGACTTGCAAGGGAGTTTGGAAGGGACTGTTTACTTTCTAGTGTTAATGCAGGGAGAGAAAACAAGCAGTCCGGAATCTATTTACAAAATCTGAAGAAATGTAGATAAAGAGCTTTAAATAAGACTAAACTGCAGTCAGAATTTAACAGCCATGTTCACATTCTTTTTCATGTTCACAGGGCTGCCTTTTCCATTAGTGACAGTACCTTGGCCTTCCGCACTCAGAAGTAGAAGCTGTTTTTCCAGTCAGTTTTGGGGTTATCCATGGATTGAAGATTTATTTTAGTTTTAGTCAGCTTGCTTCTAGCTTTTGTGCTGCTCAAATGCACCAGAAAAATGCACACGGTCTTTTCTCTTAATTTACATCAAAACCTGATTCATTTGTTGTGTTTCGGGAAATTCTGCAATTCATCTGATTTATTTTTTTTTTTTCCTAGTCTTTAGGACTTCATTGTACGGTTTCTTTTTTGGCTCTGTGTTTTTTATTTTATTTTATTTTATTTTATTTTATTTTATTTTATTTTATTTTATTTTATTTTATTTTATTTTTGTGGAAGTGTTTCCCTTGCTGGTAGCTCAGATGGCTTTGAAGAATTCCTCATGGAACTCTGATGGAACTTGGGTGAAATTCTGCCTTACCACATAAGCTGCTGGAGGTTTAGCCTCAGTCCCAGTATCCAGGCAGCTCATTGCACATGCCTGGACACCTTAAGGGATACGATGAGCCTGGTCAAATATATTGTCAATACATCAAACCAGTCAATAAATAATATTTCCTTTCCTGGGTGTGCTCCATTCAAGGGCTTTGTATTCCCAAGCTTCAAAGGGCTTTGTGCAGGACTCTCCCCCTGCTGGCATTTACCAGGAGATAAATACCTGCGTGCAGCTCTCAGCCGCTGCCACAGCACTTTTCCTTGCAGCTTTCCCAGTCTGCCCAGTTTGTCAGGCTGTCTGGGATAACGGGAATTGGTGCAGAGGTCAGCTTTATTCTGCATGCACCCATAAGTGAGGTGGGTGAAGCAAGGAACTTCTAAGAACCTTTTATATGAGGGTGGTCCTGACAGTTAATGGTTATGCAGTAAGTTTCTTGAATTGGTGTAGAAATGACATTGGAAATTAATCTTTTTGTCCATGAAAAGGAAATTGCTCGTCTTTTGGCTTAGATCCGTGCAGCACTGTACGCTCAGGAAAAAAGATCCCAGGAGCTGTTTGTTTTTGCGGTTATTAAAACCGGTGAGCTCAGGGGCTGGAAATGCTGCAAAAAAGGGAGAGACCTGGAGCAAAGCGAGGGAAAATAAATCTGCGGGCGGAGAGGAGAATCCCAGAGACTCGGTGCCACCTAGTGGGGGCTCTCAGAAGGTTCAGCAGGAAGCCAGGCTGCTGCTTTGCACCCTAAAAAAGCCACTTAGATGTCAGGCCACGAAATAAAGGCATCATTGGGGAGGATTTGGGTGCTGAGCAGCATCAATAAGCGAGGCGGGGAGTGTGTGAGATGAAGGCAACAGCTGGTGGGCCATGTGTGGGGGAAAAAAGTAAAGTTAATTAAAAGTCTGATAGAGCTCAGCTGTGAGGGGACTCATGTCTTTTCGAGTTAGCTGACAAAAGAGCTCCTCACAGTGAAGAGGAGCTCCTTGTGACACAGCCCAGTGGATGTACAGCTCCGTGTCATCAGCCAGAGACACGGGCTGGTGTGCATGTGTGTGATTTATTAATCATAATCTGCCTGTAAGTGCTTTGGGGCAATGGAGCTCATAAAGTTTTACAAGCATTTACGCAGCGCATTTACACGGTGAATGAAGAAGTGCCGTGGCTGCTATTAAGAATCATTGTATGAAATTACTGCCTAATCAATAATGAGCCTTCAGAGTAAAATCTACTCATTTACGTTACCAGACCTTCTGATGCCCTGGCCGTGATGATGGACAGCTTCTAAGAAGCATCAGGACCAGCCCAGTGTGAGACTTTTTTATTTTTCATTTGCTTTTCTCAGGAAATGAGGACGCTGTACTCAGCCCAAGGGGGGTGTTTGTGTGTAGTTCTCCCTAAAGCCTTGCAATTCACGGGCTGATTGAAGCAAGTTTATCATGGGATGATAATCTCAGATACTGCATTCCTGGAAGTTCACACAGATAGGTGGCTGTGGTATAGGGTGAGCAGTGAGGGAAAGGCTGGAACGAGGCATCAACTAGCATCTAATAGCATGGAAATACTTTGTAAATACGGGGAAAACAGGAAGAGCTGCCTTTAGTTGTCACAGTCAATGGTAAAATGCCAGACTTTTAAAGATAAGCTTCTATTGGATCTATTTGTTTATGCAAAAGTAACAGAAAACTGGTAGTGAAGCAGGAATGTGAGCAGGAACAAGGGGTTAGGCAGCATCAGTGGTTTCTCTACTGATGTCCACTCTCTGAAGTGGAATCCCCTTGCAGCAGTACAGCCATCATTGCACCCCAGCACGCTGCCTGGTGCCACGGCACCGTTTAATACAGCAAAAGTTCCTGGCTGGAATACATTTATATCCTTGGCAGAAACCCAGGGACAGCGCTTGTCTTCTCTAGGTTTCTCATGCAGTTTTGTAGCAGAATATCCTAGTATTCTGCGAAAATATTCTGGCTATTTTCTACTCATCCTATTTTAAACATGAGATCCTAACCTTCTCTCCGGGTGAAGGTTCAGAACTACAATACATTGCTGCCAGCAGACCGAGGAACTGATGGTCCCTCCAAAAGGTGCCCTGTAAATTATAGGGGGTGGCAATTCTTACAGGTCCTAGGAAGAGCAAAGTGGGATGGAATGAGCTTCCTATCTCTGTGCTGCCCTGGGCACATGAGGTTTTACACGCATGTTATTTCTAGCTTGCTGTTGTTTATTATCTGCTCTTCAAAAGGAATCTCCCTTTCAAACTGAGCCCCACAGAAGTTCCTGTGTTTAAAAATAGCCACCATAAAGAGCTTGGATTCTTATTTTGGCTTTTCTTCTTACATATTGCACGACTGAAGAAAAAGCTTAAGCATTCAAGGAGGAAGTGACACAGACACATTGCTTGTGATGAGAGCACAAAGCAAATGGAAAACAGAAAACAGAAATTTGGCAGAAACAGTGAGGAAGATTAAAGTACATCTGGAGCAGAGCTGTTTTGCTCCAAGGGGTTAAATATCCAAAGCAACTGGAAATCAAAAAATGTCATTTGATATTTTAGCAATCAAACATCAGCAATAAGGAGAGGGAATTGCCAGATTTTGGTAAAATAATATTTCATTATGATCAGCTTTCTGCAGTGACTCAGGTTAACTTCCTGCTTGCTTAGAATTAACTGTTTTAATCTGAAAAGTGCTTCAAAGAAGGGAGAGGGCTGTTGCAACGACACGACATGGCTTTAGCATTCATACAGTACATGCAGAATGAACCTGCTCTCAGGAAGCTGATGTATTTCTCCAGTTCCAGACAGCAGAAATCTGAAATCCAAACTGAAAGTAACAAGTAATAATTCCTGACCTCATATCCCTAAGAACGGTTGATATAAAGTGTGATTCCTAATTAAATCAAATATGCACGCATATCTAACAACGATCTTCACCTCTCAGAAGAGGAGCATACTCTGAGATGTGTATTATGTACATAAAGCAAAGACTAGAATTCCTTTGGGCAGCTTTCTGGGGTGACATACTGGTTCTGTCATATTCAACATCAGATTGTTGAATATCGCAAACTTCAGATTTTGCCTTTTCTTTCTTTTGACTTCACAATTCAATACGTGATTCCTTTGTTTTGACTTGACTTACAACCTAATGCATGACTAATGCTGATAGGCAGAGATAAAACTTCCTGTTAGAGTAAATCCCAAGAAACTTCAGTAATTTTATTGTCAATTTGGACTCACACCAATGTTACACTGGAGAATTTTTTCATCTTTATTTCCACTAGTAAAAGTAAGAGGCCCCAGCTGAAACACGACAGCCAAGCTGCAATTTGGAACAGTTTAGGTCCAGAGCTAGACCTGTATTATGCAGTCTGAATCTTTTTCTAATTAAAATACACTTGATCTGCTGTTACAGAGTTGAAGAGCTTTTGAAGTCAGGCTCTTACTTTTTCACTTTTGCTATTTTGAGTGAAGAGGATTGTCTTTGCTTTGGGAAATATAAATGAAGTTTGGTTAGTAGATTATGGTAACCATAGACTAGGTCACATTGTAAGTTTCTTACCCCTCCTTAATTTGTTCATCCTGAAAACAGGGAATTTTTACATTTATCCACAATGGTATTTTGAGAGATGTTTCAGAGTGGGCTTACTGAACTTTCTGTCTTTTTTTCCTCAGGTCAGTGTACTCTGTCTTTTAGGGCTCTGTGTTCATGTGCTTCAGCACAAATACTGAGACTAGTTCAAGAGGTAGGTTTTATATTATTTTCTGAAGACATGAAGCCTCAAGATTAGTCAGGATCATCCAGTTCTCCTTATCCATCACTTACATCCAAATATGCAAACGTTTTTTAATAAACATCAAATGTACATGGACTGGCCTGAAACAAAGAAGTTTTCTTTCATGGAAAATTAATTTCTACTCTGAGTGGAAACCCAGGCAAATATATTACATTATCTGATTTGTGTGTGATGCTACGCACAACTGATAACTTCAGGGTTCACAGAAGCTGGATGACACCCTGTAATGTCCACTTTTGGGGAAAACAGTTGTCCCAAAAGAGCAGAATTTGCTTAAAGTTGATGTTTGGGTTATTAACTACCTCTCAGGCAAGCTAGTACTCCCACAAAGTTCCAGCTTTAGTGAATATTGACCTGTAAACTCAGAGGGTTGTAGAGGGTTGCTGTGTGTGACTACATGAGTGCATTCAAAAGCTACAGCATCTGCAGGTTGTTATGCTTGGTGCTGTTGGAGGACCAAAGCACAGCTGGACACACGGACACCTTGCTGCGGAGTGAGATCTTTGGTTGCCCTAAAAAGGAAGACATGGAAGAAATGGCACTTAGTTGAATGAGAAGCATTAAAGGGAAAAAACACATAGACATCATTTACCTCCTAAGGCACACGTAGAGCACCTTCGGAAGATAAACCTGTAAGTGCCCCATATTTTTATTTAAAGCAGAATTTCTTCTGGTACTAATAAACACTTTTGAAGGTGCCAAAGCTGTCATCACTCATCAAAACTTTGCGACGCAAGCATTTAAAAACCTGCAGAGTGTATTTCAATTGGTTGGTGCTTGCCCAGATTTTATGTCAAGACTGCAAAGCCACAGACTGATGATAATCGTTTTTTATTTTTTACTCACAAAGAAAATCGTGCAATTAAACGTATAGCAGTCCTGTAGAGTAGGAAACTTCACCCAAGAGATCTGATCATATGCCTTGAAATCACTGGAAATCTTTTCAGTACTGCCAGAGCCCCAGACCCTCTGTTTATAAAAGAGATCCAGAACACACATCCAAGCTTTCTGTCCTGTTTCTGTGCCATAGCGCTTTGTTGGGACACAAGTTAAATTCCTTTGAATTCAAATTCTCCTTGACTACAAGAAACATTGACTGGGATCCTGCCTTTAAAAACAAAAGAGTAAATTAGCCTCTACGCTCAATCACAGACTGTTAGGGCTTTGTTATCTGAGCTGCTTTTGACATAAAGATCTCCTCATATGCAGAAAAAAATTAAAAAGAGCATTCAAAAGAGCACATTTCTCAAAGCTCTGTTCCTGAGATGGAGGGATAAGCCTTGTCAGTCAGCAGCATGATGTACAGACAAAAATTACCTGAGAGGTGGGAGGTGCAGGCTACAGAGCTCTCTTTGGATCAGGGCAAGCGAGAATTCACTGCTGGCATCTGCACGCTTTGTTGGTGTCCTAACTCCTGGGCTTCTGACTGTTTTGGAGACCAGCTTGAAAAGTCTTGATGTCATCCGAAGCCAGATGGGAATTGTACTGTAAATCTCCAGTTTTGCAGGCAGGAGGAGAGTTTCTCACTTCAAATAATAAGCTGTTTTTACAGAAACTACCCATTAGGAATGTACTCCTGCCAATTTAAGTTGTTTTCCGTTGTGCCTAAAGATTTGAGTATGGAAAAAAATATTTTCTGATGTTATACTTTGGATATACTGCTTCTCTGCACAATAGCTTATAAATACCTTCTGCCTTGAAGTTTAAGCTGACTTAGAGGCCATACTGATCCCTGAGACCAAGGTCCTGTTGTTGAACCCAACTTGGAAAAGGGATTACAAAATAAAGGGTATGACCACTTCATTGTGGACATCGTAAATGTGCATAAAGAGATTTAACTTGTATGTCTCCATCACTAGAGTCTGTCTAGCAGAGGACTGTAATGTTGATCCTACTGAAAAGACACGGATGATGGAGGAAACAAAAGGAGAGGCAAACAGGCTAACTGCTGATACCAAGTTTCTTACTAAGCTTTTTAACAGGGAGAACACCCCAAAAGTATCCTTCTCCAGCTTCCCCAGTGTCTTATTTCCTATGTTCCTTCTAGAACACAGGCTGGAGAAATGCCACCTATGTAGGGCCTTATTGCGTGCTTCAGATGTACATACATCAGCAAGGAGCTTTCCCATGCCTTTTCATCCACCCGGACTGAGAGGTATAGCCTGTAACATCATCTCTTCATGACAATAAGCACCACAAAAGTAAATGACGTATATAAATATACTTATGGCAGTGTTTGCAGAAACAAATAAATAATAATAATAGTAAGTAATAATAATAATAATAATAAAAGTTGGGTTCTTAGTGACCTCTCAGATGCTGAATAATGACTGCTTTGAGGTGAGTAAGTAATCCTTCTTGAGGGTTTCCAACAAAATGTGACTTCATGTTTCAAGACGTGGCAGTGAATGGAGGCCTCTGTATGCAAAGCCACTGCACCCGCGATGTTGTGCCTGTGAGAAAATGTTTTAATGAGACAAGAAACACTCGCTAAAGTACAGCCATGTAATACATTAAAACGGAGCAGTATATTTGTTAGCCAATTTTAACACCTTGTAATGAGAATATATAGTGACAGAAATATTTCTTACAAGTACAGCCTGGTGGTAAAGTGCTGAAATGTTCTGGCTCCCAATTAGCATGGTACAATCCTACTTTCTATTAGCTATGTATGCTGTCACGATGGGTTGGTTGCTCTTCAGACCCTCAGGTGTGGTTCAAACGTTAATTTTTATGTCATGTTTATTCAATACAGTATGTGGATGACATTGAATTTATCAGCAGAAGCAGAGCATCCCTGGGCACTACGGTAGGAACTTCTCTGATCCCTGGTGCTGCTCTCTGACAGGAGGTGTTTGCTCTTAGCTCTGATTCCTGCCCTTCAGGCCTCTGAGCTGGAGCCAGCACAAGATTCCTCCTTCATCTCCTTTCTTCTCCTTCAGTATTGTTAGATCTTTAACTCTGACTGTTTAAAATTTCTCTGTGATTCCTCAGCAGAAATAGCGTGTGTTCTGCTTTCATTTATCGCCGTGAGGAATGTTCTGCGAGGGTCAAGCAAAACACTGCTTTGTGTGACCGTTCACTCTGCGATGTCTCAGACCTTCACACAAGCCTTGGGTGTTGTTCCTGTGGGCTACAGAAGAAGCAGGGACAAACAACGCAGATGTCCTTTAGGCACAAACTCTAGTTCAGGGAGAAAGTGTTCAGTAACCTTGCTGCAGATGATGCCCTAGGCCTCCAGTGTCCGTCCACCAGATGGCACCAAGTCACTGATGCTTATAAAATCCTCTGCCTTCACTGTGCCTTGGTTATGATAGGCACTAACACTGGCTGTGTGAGCCTCAGGGAGTGGTTGAACTGAGCCAGGTGTGCTTCGGCTTTATCTTTGTCTCCCTTTTCTCTGGCCTCCCTTTTCTAAGTCCTCTGAGAGCTAAAGCACTCTGGTTTAGATTGCAGACTTAATTCCCATTTCCCTTCCACGAGGTGACTACAGAGATTGAAATAAACCCCAAACATTCAAAGTTCCTGAAAACAAGAGCGGAAAGCCAGTGGAAAGCCAGCACACATCAACCCACCCCTGACTTGGGGAGGTTTCCTACAGAGCCTGTAGCTGAATGGGTCCTGCTGGCTGCATGGAGCCACCATGGTTGGCTTTGTTCCCCTCTGCACCGTGCGGTGCCTTACACCAGGGGTACAAGAAACATTTGCCAGCTCTTGGGAAAGGAGCTGCAAGGTCCTGTAATACGTTTGGGCTTTTATTCTGGCCTGGACCATTTCTCACAGCTTCAGTAAAAATTCTGTTTTAAAAGTACATCTGATTTCTACTGGCTTGTGCGTTTGGAGATGGATTAATAGGTGCGCTGTCACCAAGGCGTACTGTCTTCAGAGTGTGACCGCTTGGGACATGCTTAAGTAAAACAGGATTTTTGTTTGTTTTGATCTTATTATCTGCATTGGGCAGATTCTGGCACTTTTCTTGGGCAGTGTGACTGAAAAGGTTCGCTACCTGAAGCAACAGCATTTCACCCTCTACAAATACTGTAAATACTGTATTGATGCTGCCTCTTCCACTTGGCTTGAGAGTGGATTCTGTCCAAGAGAAATAAAAGCTGGCTGGGGCCACCTGTGCTCATGTCCTCAGTAGTATTTCAGAGCCAGTAAAAAGATTAAGAATAGTAAATAGAAAAAAATAAAATAAAATCCTTTATTTCATGGAGATTTCATCACAGAGTTCAAAGATGTTCGCTATGTCACTAAATAAGAAACTATAGCTGTATGTTAACATTCATCTACAGTTTCCATCAGCTGATACACCTTCATGTCTCAGTTGCATGCCCTTTACTACCTGAAAACAAACAAACAAACAAACAAACCACCTTATAGGACACTGGCACAAGCCTCAAGATACCTGCTCTGAGCATCCTCTCTCTGCTCCAAGCATCTTGTCTCTGCTTCTGCTTTACTTCAGACATGCTACACAAATACCTTTTTCCTATCTGTAAATTAGTGTGGTCATTCTCTTCTTCCCATATGTTTATTTATACTTTAAAGATTTTATCACAATGTGTTTTTCCACAATTTAACTCATCGCTGTGGCTATCCCTAGATATTAATACAATACTTGAATGCTATGATTTTTTATCGATTTTTTTTTCCTGTCCATAATTTACTAATAAGACTCAGGAAACTTTTCCAGAACTTTAAGGCAGCCTTTGCCAAAGGATTGTAAAATGTTTTTGAGATTGCCAGGATGAACATGCTAAAGAAGTGCCAAGTGGGATGATAACAGCCTCCGTTTGTTACCTTGGAACTTCAGTGAAAGCAAGTCGTGAAGCTCTTGTCCCCAGCTGGTGGAAACTGGGCTGTCTCTGGCAAGTCTCATAAGACTTTCTAATTCCCTACCTCAGGTCTTCATCCTGCTTTTCATTGATCTACTATTCTTAGCGTGCTGGTGAGTTGCTTGTTTTCAGTGCAAACTTGATTCACACAGCCCAAAGTTGGCACTGTAAGTGAAGCACTCGCTATGGTTTATGTTACCTCATTATTTTTCTTTCTGACACGGGGGTGTTTTGCAAAGCTTAATTGAAACCAACAGGTAATTGTCTGACCTGCACTAGTTAGAACTGACCTACTAGGTATCAATTTTGTATACTTGGACTGCTTTTTTGGCTTGCACACAAATATTTATGGCAAATTGGTTTTAAACCTATTGTAAGAGGGTTGCTGTGGCACAACAGGATTATTTACGTCTCAGAATTTCACCCCTTAAAATCCAGGTTTTATTTCACAAATAAAAATGCATCTGTGCATTTCTGCTGAACAGAGACATTTTACTACTGCACAGTCCCACGTTTACTAGAACTGCTCAAACTGGAGAGGAAAATGGAAGTCTGTGTACACAGGGACTCACCGGGGCAGCTCCAAACTGGGCTTTTGGTCACTCGCTTTTCTCAGGAGCAGCTTTTAAGGGAAACGTTTGTGGAAGAAAAATCCTCATAATTTTAAAAGCATTGGAAACATATTTTTATTTTCAATGGACATCTGTTGTGCTAAAGAGAAAATAGGGCTTAGAAAATAATGATGACTCTGTAGCTCAATATTATTTTCGGTGTTTGTGCATACCCAGAACAGACCGTATTTGTCAAAAGTTTTGCTAAGCATTAATAAGTGTTGATGTAAGTACAATATGCTGGAGTGTGTTTGTAGAAATCACATAATAATTCATAGAAATATAAGCAAAAGACAGAGCATCCACAGCAATCTGGAGTTCACAGTGCTAGAAGGGAACTCTTAATTGTTAGAAGAAATTACAAATGCTCCTGGAATGCAACTTCTGCAGCTTCCATTTGTCATCTCTAAACTCATTGACTGTGCTTTATTAGCAACTAAAAGCAAATCAGTTAAGGCACGAGGAATGTGCTGAACAAGGTCAAGAACATTTGAAAGCAGCAGTTTCTTTCCTTGATAACATAAAGCATAGACATTTCAGCACCTAAGTTAAGGTCAGGATGATTCAGGGTCAGCCTTTAAAGTGCCAGCTTTAAAAGAATCGTAAACACACAATGGCCCAGGGTTTTCTGGTGTTCAGCTGGTTTTATTGCTGATTACTCCAGAGTGAGCATAGGTAGCCAGTAATCATAAAAAGTCCTGTTGGGTTTATTCCTAATGGGAGGCAAACATGATGAAGGTTTTTTTTTTTGGAGTACTCATTTCCTGGTATGTTGTAAACATGCCAGGAAAGCTCTGTGCATTATGACAATTTCTTCTGGAGACCAGGAGTTAAAAATGGGCTGGCCTAGGAGGTGACAGTCTTTCTTACAGCTTCAGCAGAAGTTGGACGTAGTTGTCTTTTCTGGAAGATAAGATTACAGACATTTAGATTGTTAGATTTTGTGTGTGTGTGTTCAGATAATTCACTTTTCTTAAGAATGTCACATTTCTTTAGCATGCTTTTTCTACAGTTGAAATGTGGCTGTGTCTTGTCCATCATCTGTCCTAGAAATGGGAACAGAAACTGTTTCTTTAGAATTGTTAACATTATTCCACAAACACAGCAGGAAAGATGCATAGTTCATGTAGTTGCACCGTGGTATATATACTTCAAGTGAAATATACTGGGAGAAGTTGTTCAGTGGGGTGTGTTAAAGGTCTTTTATTTGCATGGATGCTTAACTTTGTCAGCTCTGATTTATAAATCCGTGGATTCTGGCACCCTAACTAAATACTAATGGGATAGCATCTGCCCCAGAGGACCACAGTGCTCTATAACTGTAGTTGCTCAGCAAAACTGTCACCTCCAAAGATCAGGTGCTTTCTTAGCATCCTAATCTGTCAGAGGCTTAATAGTTAGAAATTTGTTTTACATGTCTAAGGCTTGTAAAACAAAATCATTGCACCAGGGAACGGGTGGAAACATTCATGTTCTCTGAAGTTCGGGCTGATATATCACAGCAGACACCATTTTCTAGAGACGGATAGTTTATTATTAGTTTATTTCTCATAATTAGTCTATCTGTGTGCTCACATGGCCTTCCTGAGTCACATCTCAGCTCATTATCTTGGGGAACAGACCTATTATTTTTGAAAGCCATCCAGTCAATAAATTAGCTTGGAAGAAATGATAGTCCAAAACACCTTTTCAATAGATTGCTGTCATGCTTGGTTCCTATCAAAGAGAAGCCTGAATTTTTCGTGGTGACATATGGATTAACTGAGCCTTCCCTGCTGTGAGAAAACAAAAGACAATTGGTGATGCATGGAGCAAGCTGATCTTAAAACAGAGACATCAACAAAGAAACATGACAGCATGAAAAGACAGAGTACAGTCTGCTGTCCACATTTACAAAGTCATTCTGTCTGCAACTCCAACATACATCTATTGTCTATTTTTTCTCAAAGTAAGTGACAATGTTCCTTAGCTATATCATCTCAAAAAACCTGCATCTCCGACAGAAGTAGGAGCATATTAATCAGAGTTTCTTTTGGTCTTGATCATGCTTTTATGTTTGCCATTGAGCCACAGTAAGCTCACCCTGTGTCAGCAAGGAATAATTCTCCAAGCACGGCTCCTTTCTTTGCTCTGCCTTTCATTTGTTCTTCCACATTACTGAAACTCTACTGAAATTTCAATGTGATCCAATAGAACAAGCTGATTTGTGATATTTTTCCCTCATTACTTATGCATGAAGATGGCCTTTTACCTGATACAGTTTTTTTATTTGTTGCATCTGTTTTACCTGCTCCCGATGTATTTAAATAGCCCACTACATACCATTTAATGTGACCTTGTAATTGCCAATTACATCTTCATGATGCATCTTGTTGCTGGATGCAGTGCAGAGGCGTAAAGCAGCTGGTTCTCAGCTGGTGTCAGACAATGGCTCTGTGCTGGATCACGTCACGTCTTTCACCAGACACTGAAGATCAGTGGCTTGCTGCACGGGGGAAGAGGGAAAGACTCTGTCTGACAGCAGAAGTATCACAGAAAGCCATGGTGGCTTCCTATGGCAGCACAGCCACACGAATTTGGAACTTCCTTGACTATTTAAACTTCACTTCAGACAAATCTTGATCAGTATCTACTGTTCACATTCAGGTGAACTAAGTTTGTATGTTAGTATTTACCCCTTAAAGGTCTGAGAATTTTTGTTAAACTGTCTTAGTAATAAATGTGTAGCATTTTCTTGATTATTTTTTTTTTTTAAGTAGGCATTTAATTTCCTCTCTCTTTAAAAGTATTCCTCTTCTCTGAAATTCAGGATATCAGTGTGAAAAAAATTAATAGTCCACTGTGGAGTTTTTATCATACTGATTATTGCATTAAGGTGTGATTATTTGATTCCCAAAGAACTGAAGAGCTCTTTGCCCACTCTCCTCTTACTGTAGACAGAAAGAAACCTTTAAGCAAGAGAAACAATTGTATTACATCTTGTCCCGACTGTCACTAATATGACAGGGAGATTGATCCCCCCTCACTAATTCCTGTTTTAATTTCATAATTCCTCTAGCTTGCCTTACGAGGAATATGCAAGAGAGGCTCATGCAACCTTCTGCAGACAGAAGGGAAGTTTGGAAGCACGTCATCCCTTGGAATTATTCCCAAGAAGAGCATGTAGGGTGTGTGACTTGCACTGAAACCCTGGGAAGCTAGAATGAGGAAATGGCCAGGTCTTGTTTACCCACGGAGCCTTTAATTATTGATGATATCTACCTGCTTACATAACGCCGGCACTGTAAGTATACCTGCATATCACACGCGTTAATGGATTCGTCCTTAGGCCACCTTGGCATGGCAAGGAAAATTAAAGGGAAATTTGAAATTCAAACACAGCTCCCCCAGTGCTTTGGGACATGGAGGTAAAATACAAGTGCTTAGATCCTGGCAGCGCTGTGAGAACTGCAGGCCTAATGCTCGTAATTGCCATGGTTTTGGCAGTGATGTTTCCCGTTCTGTTTCTGCTGGTGTCCAGAACTGTCTGTCTTAGCAGGGCTTGGGAGCTTTGCTTATCCCACGCTGACATTCCTCTGAGCAGATTCCTGCCTGGGACAACCTCTCCAGAAGATGTGGAGCCACTGTCTGGTTTCATTAAAAATGAGGCTGGAGGACACAGGTCTCAGGATACAAGTTCTTGCCCAGTAGTCCAACAGAAGAGGTTTTCTTCAGTGTTTCACATACATCTGCCTGTCTTCCACTATGGAAGTACCTAAAAAAGGAGAAAGAGGAATAAGAAACTGGGGATTTCTGGAGAAATGCTGGCAGAAAGAGGAATTCAAGACAGGCAGGAACGTACCTGAATGATGGAGCTGCTGTGAGCTCCTGCTTGGTGCTCTGTGCCTAATCTGGCTGCTCTACAGCCAGAGCAGAAGGAGGCTTTGATGGAAACTGCTGACCCCATTTCTCTGCCTCTCAGTGGAGACCCCTGTTTGAGCTCACGAGCTCTGTGGGATTGTGCTTCTGACAGCTTTTATGTCTCCCACTCCACCAGCCGCTGCTTTCTGAGCACTGGCTAACGATGTGGAGACCCGATTTCTCTGCACTCTGCTGCAGGAGGGAATTCAAAGCCCACGTCTCCTGCACTTCCAGGTTAGTCCCCTTGTCACTCAGTTAAATGTTGCATGCCGTGCCAGTATGCCTCTTTGTCTGTGCACAAACGAGAGAGTGGTGTCCTGACCTGGGGTTAAGGCATTGACCTGAAAAAGAGATGACTTGGTCTTGACCCCTCTTCTAAAGACTGATGATTTATCAAGTGATTGTTTGATGGTACCAGGAGAGTTCCAGACTGCAAATTCTGCATGGACATAGGTATTTTGTCCTAGGCCAATATTTAAGCCCAGGGGAAGGTGAGATTTAGGATTCATTCTTGTCTTTTTTTATTGTTCTATTGGCTAATTTAAATAGCTTCCTTCTAGGTAATGGCTGGCATATGCTGAGTATCCATTTCTTTTCAGTGCAGTAAGATGAGGTGCTGCAACTCTTTTCTAAGAGCTAAACAGCCCAAAGTTAATTGACTGCCTTTACAACTCTTTTCATGACTTCTTTCAGGTCACCTATGAGCTTTAAGAGCAAGAAAATAAAACCAATGTCCCATATCATTTTGATGCCTAAACCTTCAAATTCTGGTTCCTGTGCTGCATTTACTGACTTCCAGCTAAGTGAAAACAAGCCTTAAAATGGGCAGAATAGTTTATCATTAATAATATATGTCTGCATAATATCACTGTTGGGCTCAACACTTGAAAGGGAACAAATAAACATACTCGTCAAACCTGAAGATTCCAGTTCAGTAGTGCTGTAACAGCCAGGCAGTTA